TCCATTGTATACTTTTAGCTCCTTTATCGAAAATGAGGTGGGTTTGTGGGTTAAAATCTGGATCTTCTATACGATTCCATTGGTCAACTTCTCTGTTTGTGGGTTAAAATCTGGATCTTTTATACGATTCCATTGGTCAACTTCTCTGTTTTTATGCTGCTACCACACTGTTTTCATTACTGTAGCTCTGTAATAGAGTTTAAAGTCAGGGATGGTACTGCCTCTAGAAGTTGCTTTATTGTATAACATTATTTTGGCTATCCCGTTTTTTTTCCATATAAAATTGATTATTGTCCTCTCAAGATCTGTAAAGAATTTTGATGGGACCTTGATGGGGATTGCATTGAATCAATAAATTGCCTTTGGAAGAATTGCCATTTTTACTATGTTGATCCTCCCAATCCAAGAGCAAGGGAGATCCTTCCATTTTCTGGTATCCTCTTCAATTTCTTTCTTCAATGCCTTAAAGTTCTTGGCAAATAGATCTTTCACTTCCTTGGTTCGAGTTACCCCAAGATATTTTATGCTGTTCGTGGCTATCTTGAAAGGTGATGCTTCTCTGATTTCTCTCTCTGCTTTTTTATCCTTTGTGTATAGGAGGGCGGCTGATTTTTTGGAGTTGATCTTGTATCCTGCCACATTACTAAAGGTGTTTATCAGCTGTAGGAGTTCTTTGGTGGAGTTTTTGGGGTCGCTTAAGTACACTATCATATCATCTGTAAATAATGAAAGTTTAACTTCTTCATTTCCAATTCGAATCCCCTTGATCCCATTATGATGTCTTATTGCTATTGCTAAAACTGCAAGCTCTATATTGATGAGGTATGGAGAGAGTGGACATCTTTGTCCTGTTCCTGATTTTGGTGGGATGGCTTTGAGTTTCTCTCTGTTTAATTTGATGTTAGCTGTTGGCTTGCTGTAAATAGCTTTTATTATATTTAGGTTTGACCTTTATATCCCTAATCTCTCAAAGACTTTTATTATAAAGGGATGTTGAATTTTGTCAAATGCTTTTTCAGCATCTAATGAAATGATCATATGGTTTTTTCTTTCAGTTTATTTATATGATGGATTACATGCCGGGCGGGGGTGGCACATGCCTTTAATCCCAGCACTCGGGAGGCAGAGGCAAGCGGATCTCTATGAGTTCGAGGCCAGCCTGGTCTACAAGAGCTAGTTCCAGGACAGGAACCAAAAGCTACGGAGAAACCCTGTCTCGCAAAATCAAAAAAAAAAAATTGATAGATTTCCATATGTTGAACTAGCCCTGCATCTCTGGGAAGAAGCCTACTTGATCATAATGGATAATTTTTCTAATGTATTCTTGGATTTGGTTTGCCAGTATTTTATTGAGGATTTTTGCGTTGATGTTCATGAGTGAGATTGGCTGTAATTCTCTTTCTTGGTTGAGTCCTTGTGTGGTTTTGGTATCAGAGTAACTGTAGCTTCATAAAAGGAATTTGGCAATGACTCTTCTGATTGATTTAAGTTTGAAGTTAACTTTGTTAGAAATTAGTATGGCCACACCTGCTTGTTTCTTAGGTCCATTTGCTTGATAAGCCTTTTCCCAGCCCTTTACTCTGAGTAGGTGCCTGTCTTTGTGGTTGAGGTGTGTTTCTTGTAAACAACAGAATGTTGGATCCTGTTTTCGTATCCAATCTCTTCTCCTGTGCCTTTTTATAGGTGATTTGAGTCCATTGACATTAAGTGATATTAATGACTAGTGGTTGTTAACTCCGGCCACTTTTTTAGTAGTAGGGTTTGTGTGTTTTCCTTCTTTGAGTTTTGCTGGTGAAGGGTCTCTAGATGTCTGAGTTATTGTGGTCATTGTTGGACTCCTTGGTTAGTGATTTTCCTTCTATTACTTTCTGTAATGCTGGATTTGTGGATAAATATTGTTTAAATTTGTTTTTATCCTGGAAAATTTGTTTTCTCCATTTATAGTGAACGGAAGCTTGGCTGGATATAATAGTCTGGTCTTGCATCCATGGTCTCTCAGTTTTTGCAGTACATCTATCCAGGACCTTCTGGCTTTCATGGTTTCCATGGAGAAGACAGGTGTAAGTCTGATAGGTTTACCTTTATAAGTAACTTGGCCTTTTTCCTTAGCAGCCCTTAATATTCTTTCTTTATTCTGTTTGCTTTGTGTTTTGATTATTATATGGTGAGGGGATTTTTTTTGATCCAGCCTATTCAGTGTTCTGTTTGCTTCCTGAACCTTCATAGGTATATCTTTCCTTAGGTTGGGAAAGTTTTCTTCTATAATTTTATTAAAAATATTTTCTGGGCCTTTGAGCTGTGACTCTTCTCCTTCTTCTACTCCTATTATTCTTAGGTTTGATCTTTTTATTGTGTCCCAGATTTCCTGAATGTTTTGTGATGCGAGTTTGTTGGACTTGCTGTTTTCTTTGATCAGAGCATTTATTTTCTCTATGATATCTTCAGAAGCTAAGATTCTTTCTTTTATCCCTTGTATTCTGTTGGCTATGTTTGTTTCTGTAGTCTCTGTTTGTTTACTTAAATTTTCCATGTCCATCCGGCCCTCTGTGTGTGTTTTCTTCCTTCCCTCCATTTCAGTTTTCAAGTCTTGAACTGTTTCCATTATCTGTTTGATTGTTTTTCCTTGGTTTCCTAGGGTATCATTCACTGATTTATTCAATTCTTCAAACTTTCTGTTATACTTCTCATCCATTTCTATAAGGGCATTTTTTACATGCTGTTTAAGGGTGTCAATCACTTTCATAAAGTCAATTTTTTCTACTTTTTCTTGATTAAGGTGTTCATGTCCTCCTGTTTTGAGGTCACTGGGTTCTGGTGGTTTCATGTTGTTTTTCAGATTGTTGGGTGAATTCTTGCATTGGCACCTGCCCATCTCTTCCTCCAAATGCTCCCCTATGGAATTTCTTTTACAGGACCAGGTCTCCTTGCCCACTGATGTACCTTCCCAGTGATGGCACTCTCCAGTGATGGCTCTTCTGGTGCCTAGATCAGATCTCCATGCTGGTTGGGTAGCTCGTAAACAAAGCGCCTACCTTTCTTGGTGCAGGCAGGCTCTTGAGACAAAGGAACTCCTGTCTGCCTGGTTGCCCTCACGATTTGGACCCAGAGCCCAAACAGGCTGAGCTGGGTGATGTAATGTGCCTGAAGAGGGGAGGGAGGCAGAAGGGGGGTTCTGGATGCAAGCTGGGTGGGATAGAAAGAGAGAGGCAGTATCTGGGGAGTATAGCCCCTGCAGGAAGTCCAGGAAGTATAGGGGGATGAGGAATGTCTGAGTTCCATGTCTAGGGCTGCTGCTGCAGGTGAAACTCATTCACCCTGGTGATGGCTCTCCTGGTGCCCAGATCAGATCTCAGTGCTAGATGGGTAGCTCATAAACAAAGCACCTCTTCCTTTGCTTTTTTAAAAAATTCATTCACTTCTTTCTTAAGGACATAAAACATCTACATAGTTGATCTAACTTAATTGTACTTTGACTGGGTTTGAATATTCAGGGTGTGCTGTAGTAGGAGAGTTGGAATATGGTAGTGACATATTGTTCTGTCTGTTGTTGATCATGTTATTGTGCTCTTGTCAGGTGTCTGGGTCTGAGGTGACTGCAGGTCTAGGTGCCAGTATCTCTGTTTGTCTTTGTTGGATGCACGTTTATTCCTTGGTTTCTATCTGCTCTTTGGTATTCTGGTCTGTGTTGGCTATGATAGAAGTAGCTTTTTTCCCCATTTTGGGGTCTGGAAGTCTTTCAGTAGGTGTGACATTAGTACTGCCTAAGAATTCAGAGTCATTGAATTGTAGGTGCTTGAACTTCTTCCTGCTTGTTATGCTTACTTTACATTTTTAAAATTAATATAACAACTTGATGTATCGGCATGACTATGGACCACATGAGTACCTGGTCCTCAACATGATCAAAGGATCACAGAATTTGTGAACTTGGAATAATGGATAGTTATGATTCCCAAATAAGTACTGGCAATTCTGCCACATCTATTCAAGACCATCAAAAGCTAGGTACTACTCAGTCATCCCTCTCCCAGCTGTGTTTATTACTTATGCCCAAGTTTTATATTGCTAATGTTTTCATCTGTCCATTTGTAACTGTTTAAACATAAAGCTCTGTTTGTAAAATGTTATTGGCATTACAATTTAAATTAGGGCACTTCGGATGTTTGGAAGATAAATAGAGAAGTGGAGTGAATGTATATTTCTTTGTAGGAACTCCAGTAAAAACCTCTGAGTTCCTCTATTTTTCTTGCTTGATTCACTGATATTTGCAATGTAGACAGTGTCTTTTTGTTTGTTTGTTTTTTGTTTATTGTTTATTTGATTTTTGAGTCAGGGTTTCTCTGTAGCTTGGGAGCCTGTCCTGGAACTATCTCTCAAAGTACAGGCTGTCCTCAAACTCACAGAGACCAACCTGCCTCTGCCTCCTGATTGGTAGGATTAAAGGCATGCACCACCACTTCCTGGAAGACAGGGTTTTACTATGTACTTTCACCTTCCTGGACCTTATTGCATAGACTTGTCTGGCATTTAACTCAGGGAAAAATATACCCGCCTCTGCTTTTGAAGTTCTGAGCTTAAAGGCATGAGTCAATACAACCAGGTTGTCCAACTTATTTTTCTATTTGTAGTTAGTTAATCTTCATAAAATTTTCTCATGTGTACTATATACTGTTGATATGTTTTCTTGTTTCTCTTTGCTAATAGATATTTCACATGTAAGGTGATATCTCATTCAAAGAGTAAAGAAATGACAGAGATGACTCTCCTATACACTTTCCTTCTAAAGTGAGTGTCTATGTCTTAGAATATGACTAGGGAATACCAGAATTTTATGACTATACTATCAAAGAAGTATACATTTACAATGGTGTCACTATCATGTCACTATCATGTATGGCATATTTTAGAAGGCAGTGACCTATGATGATGTGCATATCAACTTCACTTGGGAAGAGTGGAATTTGCTGGATCCTTCCCAGAAGAATCTCTACAAAGATGTGATGCTGGAGACCTACAGGAACCTCACTACTATAGGTAAAAATTAATTTCCTTCTTGTTTCAAAATAAAGGGACAGCTTTTTCTTGGTTAATGATGTTCTTCAATAATTTGATTTAAACCGGGCAGTGGTGGCACACGCCTTTTATCCCAGCACTCGGGAGGCAGAGGCAGGCAGATCTCTGAGTTCGAGGCCAGCCTGGTCTACAAGAGCTTGTTCCAGGACAGGCACCAAAAGCTACAGAGAAAACCTGTCTCGAAAAAAACAAAAAAAAAATGAGAAAAAAATAATTTGATTTAGAAAGGAGAATAAGAATGAGGTAAATAAATCAAAATGGTTCTAAGGTTTAGTTAAAATAGTTACTTAAATGATGCATAGTATTCAATATTATAACATACATTTTCTGGTACTGCATTTTAGGATACATTTGGGAAGAACATAATAGTAAAGAACATTGTCAACATTCTAGAAGACATGAAAGGTAATTTTCTTATGCATGCTGAAAATAATGATCCTCTAATAAAATGATAATGTGTCCTAGAAGATTTAAATAAAAGCAACAGTGTGAATAAGCACAGCTTTAAGTGCATTTATGATTATTAACTTCTGAAAAATCCATATAGAATTTCATGTAGTTGAATTACATTTTCAAGGCATTTTTTTTAATTAAGAAATCATGAGAAATGGCTAAACAGATATCAGCATTTGAAGCATACAACCATGAGAGCTATTCTGTAGATCCACCAATCCATTTATTTCTTACTACTCATAATACAAAATGTGTATACATTGGAGTGATGATAAGTATATCTGCAAGACTTTCTAATAAATCGAGAGCACATAGTAAATCTTGTATTACTCATATACTTCTTATTACTATATTAAGATTGGTGACAGAAGCAGTTAGAGTTAAGTGGCAGTTGTTGTGAAGAAACTTCTACTGCACATCTATGAGGAACAGAATGTCACACCGTGATAATTCAGTGTGGAAATTTTTTGTTTGTGATTCTTCCTTTACCTTGTATACCACAAATTACTCTCAATACAAGCCTATGCGCATGGGAATATGGAAAATCACAGCATATCTCTCTCTAAAAACAATTAGAAGATAAGCATTAGTCCCCATGTTAAGTACCCTTTCTCAAATTGATTGAACTATATAAAAAATTGGTTTTCTCACATAACTGTTAATACATAAAAAAAGTCACAGTGCAGAGAAGCCACATGAGTTCTAGAATTGTGCAAATACTTCTTATTGTCCTAGTTTACTTAGCAAATGTAGTATGATTTACAGTATAGGACAGTTTAAGAATGCAATAAAGTTGTTCTGAGGTTATTCAGTTGTCTTCAAATATGTGAAATATGTCAAATTGAAAAATGTTTCTGTAAAGGTGAAAATTTAAACCACATAATAAAGGAATTTACCATGACAAGTGTCTTAAAAAATGCAAAAGAACCCTTAATTACAGAAGAAAGCATGAGTTTAAACAAAGTTATAAAACATTAATATCTGAATTCTGTTTACTATTAGACTAAATTATAAAAATAATACATACAGATATGTAGGTTCATGAGTGTATTGAATGTGGTAAAACTTTTATGTGTTCCAATTATACTTGCAGGATTAAAAGAAATAATTCTGGAAAGAAATATTCAGTACATCCTCAATGTGATAAAGCCTTGGCATATGATACTCAGCTTCAGAGGAATGAAAGAAAATATTATAGTGAGAAATCCTATGCATCTAATCAGTGTTGTATAGCCTTTGTTCATCACAGTTCTTTTCAAATGAACACAAGAACACATACTGAAAAAAAACCCTGTGAATGTAATCACTGTGGTAAGGCCTTTGCATATCAGAGTGATCTTCAAAGGCATAAAAGAACACATACTGGAGAGAAACCCTATGAATGTAATCAGTGTGGTAAGGCCTTTGCACGACATGATCATCTTCAATCACATAAAAGAACACACACTGGAGAGAAACCACATGAATGTAGTCAGTGTGGTAAGGCCTTTGTTCAACACAGTCATCTTAAAGAGCATAAAAGAACACATACTGGAGAGAAACCTTATGAATGTAATCAGTGTAGTAAGGCCTTTGCTCAACAAAATGCTCTTCAAAACCATGAAAGAACACATACTGGAGAGAAACCCTATGCATGTAATCAGTGTGGTAAAGCCTTTGCACGACACGGTCATCTTCAATCGCATAAAAGAACACACACTGGAGAGAAACCCTATGAATGTATTCTGTGTGGTAAGGTCTTTGCTCAACACAGTCATCTTCAAATACATGAAAGAACCCATACTGGAGAGAAACCCTATGAATGTATTCAGTGTGGTAAGGCCTTTGCACGACACGATCATCTTCAATATCATAAAAGAACACACACTGGAGAGAAACCATATAAATGTAGTCAGTGTGGTAAGGCCTTTGCTCAACAAAATACTCTTCAAAACCATAAAAGAACACATACTGGAGAGAAACCCTATGAATGTAATCAGTGTGGTAAGGCCTTTGCACGACTTAATCATCTTCAATTGCATAGAAGAACACATACTGGAGAGAAACCCTATGAATGTAATCAGTGTGGTAAGGCCTTTGCTCAACACAGTCATCTTCAAATACATGAAAGAACACATACTGGAGAGAAATCCTATGCATGTAATCAGTGTGGTAAAGCTTTTGCACGACACGGTCATCTTCAATCGCATAAAAGAACACACACTGGAGAGAAACCCTATGAATGTATTCAGTGTGGTAAGGTCTTTGCTCAACACAGTCATCTTCAAATACATGAAAGAACACATACTGGAGAGAAACCCTATGAATGTATTCAGTGTGGTAAGGCCTTTGCACAACACAGTACTCTTCAAACCCATAAAAGAACACATACTGGAGAGAAACCTTATGAATGTAATCAGTGTAGTAAGGCCTTTGCTCAACAAAATACTCTTCAAAACCATGAAAGAACACATACTGGAGAGAAACCCTATGAATGTAATCAGTGTGGTAAAGCCTTTGCACGACACGATCATCTTCAATCACATAAAAGAACACACACTGGAGAGAAACCCTATGAATGTAATCAGTGTGGTAAGGCATTTGGATGGCCCCATACTCTTCAATTGCATAAAAGAATACATACTGGCGAGAAACCCTATAAATGTAATCAGTGTGGTAAGATATTTGCTCAACACAGAGCTCTTCAAATACATGAAAGAACACATACTGGAGAGAAACCCTATGCATGTAGTCAGTGTGGTAAGGCCTTTGCTCAACACAGTGCTCTTCACAAGCATAAAAGAACACATACTGGAGAGAAATCCTATGAATGTAATCAGTGTGGTATGGCCTTTGGACAGCTTCATTCTCTTCAATTGCATAAAAAAACACATACTACCTAGAAACCCTATGAATGTAGTCAGTGTGGTAAGGCCTTTGCTCAACACAGTCATCTTAAAGTGCATAAAAGAACACATACTGGAGAGAAACCTTATGAATGTAATCAGTGTAGTAAGGCCTTTGCTCAACAAAATACTCTTCAATACCATAAAAGAACACATACTAGTGAGAAACCCTATGAATGTAATCAGTGTGGTAAGGCATTTGGACAGCCCCGTACTCTTCTATTGCATAAAAGAATACATACTGGAGAGAAACCCTATGAAAGTAATCAGTGTGGTAAGGCCTTTGCTCAACACAGTCATCTTCAAACACATGAAAGAACTCATACTGGAGAGAAACCCTATGATTGTAATCAGTTTGGTAAAGCCTTTGCACAACACAATCATCTTCAATTGCATAAGCAAACACACACTGGAGAGAACCCCTATGAATGTAATCAGTGTGGTAAGGCATTTGGACAGGCCCATACTCTTCAATTGCATAAGAGAATACATACTGGAGAGAAACCCTATGAATGTAATCACTGTGGTAAGAACTTTGCTCAACACAATGCTCTTCAAATACATGAAAGAACACATACTGGAGAGAAACCCTATGAATGTAATCAGTGTGATAAGGTCTTTGCTCAAAACAATGCTCTTCAAAGGCATCAAAGAACACACATGGGTGCAAAAAGGTATGCATGAAATGAGTTTGGAAAAGTCTTTTCATGTCTTATTCATCTTCAAATGCAGAAAAGCACACAGATTGGAAAGAAACTTGTGAATGGATTTGTTTCGCAAATCTGTTGTCACAATAATCTCCAAATACATGAATCAAACTATCCTGGAGAGAAACTGTAAACTTAAGGATTATAGTCTTCAAAAACATGAGAATAATCATAATGTAGTGAAAAAAATAAACTTAGTGTGGTAAATGTTTTGTACTTGTTACAGGAGTAAAACTTTTTGTGTGTAATCAATCTGATAAAGTTTTTGGGTACCTGAAGAAGACACTGAGGGTTTCTTATTGCAAATTAATTTTAAGCCATCACATTTACAGTCTATTATCCAACAGTATTTATTCTTTAAAAAATGATAGTGTCAACAATCTGTTCAAGCATTATGATACCAGCTTTTATTTTATTTGCACCAGGAAACTCATGGACAAAACCTAATTTGTGATTTTATGAAGTCTTTTGGGAAGGAGATAGAGCCAAGATAAGAATCGCAACCTGGTAGTGAAATGAGATACAAAGGAAAACCCTTTGCTCCTAATTCCAGAACTAGTGAAAGATACAACATCACCCTGAAAACACAGTCAAACATCAAATCTGGATACTGAAAGAAATCTGCTTTGGCTCTCAAACCAAAGCAAAAAAAATGCAATCTACACTTGTCTCTCTGAGCTCAAAACCAACCAACTCCAGAGCACAAAATCCAGCCCATCTCTGAGCTTGTTCAAGCCCAGGCATTTAAATCTCACCAGTTCTCACCTTCTAAATCTCCTTAGAGCTGCTCTGCCTCCAAGAAGCCCTATATGAGTCATATGCTCATTCAGTTGGCAGCTGCCTCTTTCCAGACTTGCAGAGGAACTCACACTCTGGATTCTTCCCTCCTAAATAAATCTCTTGACTGAGATTTATATGAACACCTTCTTTCACTGGAATGGATCAGGAAATCTCTAGTGGAGTTGAACTGAGATACAGTTGACATAACTGTTTGGAAACTCACTTAGCCTAGAAGAGCACAGAAGCAATGGACACCTCTTATGGGAGACTCCCTTAGGAGAGTGGAGCAGATCAGCAACAGACATTTCTGCTGGGAAGCTTTCATGGAAGAATGGAGCAGAGCCCAGCTGTAATGACTTTCTCTCAGAGAGAAAGAGAATTGCTATGTCTAGTGGGGGCAAACTTCTTTTCACAGCTGTTGGTGTTGCCTAACTTTCAGTAGTCAGCGTATCCTTCCTTCCATAATTTTAAGACTTGCAAAATGAATTTGAACAATAATGTAACCCTTTTAGATTTTATACTCTCTTCAACTGCATGGAATATGTAATTCAGGTGTAAATATTTATGGATGTGTACTGCCTCCTTTTCAGTTGTTATATAATGTCTTTCAACATATAAAAGCATCTTCTTCAGGTCATGGTTCTAGAGGATAATAGGATCACCATGAAAGAGCCATGATAAAAAGTGTCAGACATGGCACTAAAGCTGGAACTTAAGAACTCAAAGCCGTAATCTTCCACATGAAGCAGAGTGTTGGAACTGGAACTGGCGTATGAATGTAAATTCTCATAGCCTACTCTCAGTGACATATTTCCTTCAGCAGTGCAGCATGTCCTAAATCTTCCCAAATGATACCACCAACTTAGAAGGATTTATTTCTCTTACTTCAAGTTTTAATTTGATTTCTCTTTACATGAACCAATACTTCATGAAGAAAAACTCTGTAAGTAAGCTGTAATATGCCTGGACTCATCTTTTACATTAATAAATGCTTACAGGAGAAAAATTTCCACGTGTGAAAATTTTTTTTAAAAAATTTGCTTTTATTGTAATGACGTGCATGTGTATGTGTGTGTGAGAGAGATAGAATGTTAATGTGCATTCTGTATTCTGAAAACGTTAACACCTTGCATCTTCTTGTAGCAGAAATTACTGGTAGCTCTTAAAAATTTGACCTGAGTCCTTGGAATGAAGATTTCTTAGTCACCTAGACATGACTCTAGTCCTATAAATATTTTAATGTCTATTTATATTACATTGAATTTTGGAAGTAGGAACAAACTCATAAGCAGAAAACAATTTTTATTGACTTTAGCCATCAACGTTGTCTTCAGCTTGAAGAAAAATTATTTTTCATCATAACTTTGAAAGAAGTAAATTACGTAACATGTTCTCTCAAGATTAATGGTGGAAATCATTGCATTTTGGTTTCTATTTTGAAACATTTGAGGTAGGTACTAAAGTGTTCTATATTGTGACAACTTTAATTACTAAAATTTATTTTTTATACTTTATATTCCTTCTATGGCTTTTGTTCAGCTTCTATTGTGCCTTTCCCTAGTAATAGGTATTTTTATGATGTAATGTATAAGATGACATCCCCATCATTGAAGTGACCCATTGGTTATTAAAATATTAAAACATGTCTGATCATAATTTTCAAGTAAGGAATTTTCAAGTAAGTGAAAGGGTGGTCAGTTGTTGTTTCTGGTTTTGACTTTCATCTTTTCACAAAATTCCTTGAGGTCTTTTTGCTTATAATTCATGCTGGCTTGGATGTCAGTAATGATTCAGAGATACATTTGAAGTCATGATGCTTTTGTGTCTGCCACCTGAGCACAAGTTCAAGGGTAGATGATGAACTCCCAATGTGTTCTGTTTTCTCAACACAATTTAACAATGTTAATGTTAAAATGACTGAAAAATGTGATTATAAGAAACATTAAATACCTCATGTGTGTATTCAAAAAATATTTTCATTTATATTATATTGATATAATAAAGCAAAATAATCAGCAATCAGTTGTGTATCTCATACCATAGCTTGATGTTCTGCTGGGATCAATATTGGGTTTCTTGCCTAGTATTCAACAGTTTCTTCCCACAGAACTATATCAGTGATGATCAAATTTGATTTGAAGAAATAGTACATCAGTTAATTATTGTCTTTCAGATTGTAAATGTAAATTCATTCAAGGGTATAAGGACCCAGGATATCTTGAATAATAAATCTTTGCATATGTACTTATTTATACTACCATACATTTCTAATTTGTTCATTATGAAGGCTAAATATATATTTATAACATTTTCTTAAAAAATAAATTATATGGCAGAGAATTGTCTCATTTAGTAAAGTTCATTGCTGCTAATTCTGAGAACCTGAGTTCTATCTCTGGGTTACCGATAAGACTTCTACAGTTGTTTCCCATATTTTCACTTGGGTGCTTCCATGTGCACACTTCTATATGAGCTCATTTGTGAACAATTTTTAAATACAAAGAAGTGCCATTGAGGTCACTTGCAGCCAAATTGTTCCTTAGGTATCATCACTAGAACTCACAAAATGGAAGTAGATCATAGACCCCTGTTAGTTTTCCTGTCAGTGCTACATACACATCATGGCACAGGTGTATTACAGGTGTATTCACACAGTCACACTTCAAACATTTTAAAATGGATGGAATTAACAATGCAATGAAAATAACCCATTATTGAGAACATATGAAATTATTTGACTGTTCATATTATAGAATTTCAAGAAATATTGCTTGTCATGAAAACAATGGTGCTCCCTCTAAATCTTATTTTATTTCTTTCTCTGATTCAATGATAAGTGCTTTCAAAACACTTATTTCAGCTGGACTTAGAGGTGTATGGCTATAATCATAGCACACAGGAGTATGTGTGGGGCCCATCTCAGTAAGTTTGAGGTCAACTTGTTCCCCATCATGAACTCTTGAAATTCCTGGCTATGTGGACTTTTCCTAATCAAATCTGGCTTGACTCAGGTTTATTTTAACCAAGTTTTTTATCTTTATTCACATAAAGAGATCTGTTTTAACAATGAAGATAAGAAGCAATATAGAAATTCCATTCACATTCAGTCTATTAGATCCTTTGACAACCATCTAGAGGTGATGTTATCTTTCAAGAGACAAGAGACAGAAGGAAACTGGGACACCTTCTCCTTCAGCATTATGACATATGGGAACTGGAGAGTGGTCTCAGGAGTACTGGTCTCAGGAGTACTTGGTACCCAAGTGTGATTCCTAGCCCACACTTCAGATTGGTCAGAACTCCATGTAATTGTAGGTTCTGAATATGTGGTACATTATTCTGGTTTCTTATGGCACAAGATATGCAAATGCTGAACAGAAAGGTCTGTATGTGATTCTTTATTTATAATAGGTTTTCTCTGTGTGCCTGTTATCTTCAAAAAGAATGAAGTTTACTTTAGACGTAGACATGGAGACAGTGTCTAATCACCTCTGACTGGAAGTACACACA